TGCTTCAAGCTGGTTCACATGTTTTCGATTGATTATAACTCTCAGTTCACTCAATAAAAATAAATATATATAATATAAATTAGATATATTCATTCTTCCGAAATACCTGCAGGACGTTGATTATTTATCATTTCTATCAAAGTTACTCACACGAAATTTCCTCATTGTTGCCACGGTGTTCAGTCTACATGGATCTAAAAAAATATACTGCATTTCAACACCGGAATTTTGTTCTTCTTCATAAGCTTCCCATATTCTAAAGCCTGTATTTAGATCACATACCACAAACTGCCCAAGTTCAACTAAGGTTTCCATTTTCTTGCTTCTCACTTCTCTCACGAGTGGACTTGCTGCAGCCGGAGTCTGTCAAGTCCATCGTGTTCACCGCTCCAGTCAACGTTGCCCTGCCTTACTTTTTGGACATCACCAATTAAGGCTGACTTACATTTTTACATAATATCTTAAAAGTGGAGTTCAATAGAGTTCAATAGAGTTATGCGTGTCAGGTCTTTCGTTTCACGCAACTAGTCCCTCAAATTATTATAGCAGGAAGTAACGCTCTGCAAGGTTCAGGCTCTTCTGTAACGCGTTACTCACCTGAGTATAGAAGAAAAATCACCGGAAAAATTTATTTTGACTCGGATCATCTATTATATTTATTCATGCAAGAGTTCAATGTCGATTCTAAAAGTCAATAGTAAATAGTTAGTTAGTTATAGTTAAACACCTCAGTTGCACCTATTACGCTGGTTTTTATTTGTGACACACGCTGGGATAAATAGGATGTGTTAAATGAGTCAGAAGTGTACCCTTTTAATCTCACTTCAAACTTCACACTAATATCAGAGTTCCGCGTGTTTATTCAGTATATTCGTGTTTATTCTGTGTGCTTGATCCATAATATATATATATATATATATATAAAGCCTCTTGTGTTCCGTGCAAATCGTTCCGTCCAAATTAATCCTTTTCCAAATTTCTCGAGAGTTCTATTTTATATATATAATTATATTACAACTAGGGACTGTTCATGAGTGCATGTAACATGCCCTCTTGAGTCATGTAGAGAGCATGCAAAATACACTGCAACACATCAAGGGATTCTTTAATTTTGCTGTTCTGTAAAAGACGATATTTCATCCATCATCTTAAGCACGCTTGTACGTCGCGTAATGAGAAGTGTAAACTTATTTACAATGATAATACAAACATTACAATATACATTACAAACATTATCAATATATGTAGAATATAAACTATTTCAATATCTTCAATACATATATTAAGCTTGCGATTTTTGAGGAATATTTATTTTTTTTTTATATATTGTTTGTATATTTATACGACTGAGAGTATTGTGCACGCTAGCCTCACTTACAAACTAGCACCGATGAGTCAACGCATAAATTTTGAATTATAAAAACTCTTTGACAAATAATTATTCATGTTTAGATATAATATATTCACTAGTAATTATACACATACATCAATAATAAAATGGTGATGTGCGGAACTGAGTGCTGGATGCTGCATGAAATTAAAATGCGTTTGAAACATTTTAATATGACTAGCCGGTGTCGGACTTTAGATCTCCACCTTGACAACATGACAGTAATTATAGTCAGTCATTCATAAATGATTAAATATTTAAATCTTGGCTTGATTTGTTCTATCTGGTCGGTTACTGAAGCTTTATAATTGGATTACTTCGTGTTTCATCATGTTGAAAATGAGAATCTGTAACAACGTTTGAAGATTTTCAAAAACACATTTCAATTGCTTCAGCAGATTTCAAAATTATCACTTGTTTTTCGCAGTAGATTTGTCTTCATATCTGATATTCTCGTCTATTAAGGCATTCAAATCGAATGTTTTTCCTTTTCCGTGTCCCCTCGGTTAAGGAAACAACACATCTAAATTTAATCACTAGATGATTATTAACATAATGATTTTCAAGGAATAAAGTTATTATTAAACTTCTTATTCATTATCATATTTAATTAATTAAAAAGTCTCGATCAATGTTTGTAGCCAGACAATCATGGAATAATTGTCTTCGGTATGTAAGAATATGAAAATAATAATTCTGAATTAAATGACCGGAATGCACGAATAAATTAGTGTAAATTCAGTGATTGTTCAATTATTTCAATAATTTTTGCTTGCTTTGCTGACCTAAGAAAATTTTGGAAGCACAATTCAAAAAAATTCAAGCAAATCTTTAGTCTCGATTGCTTTAATTTACTTTCGTGGATTTGAATGAATGAATATATAAAGGAGTTAATTAAGCATTAGTTTTGGCTCTTGAAAAGTTACACTCTTTTTTGGCTAAAAATAAAATAAAAAATGTGTATGTTCTCATGTACTGCATCAAATGAACTAATCCTGCAGTTCTGAAATATGGACAAAAGTTCAAGTTTTTTTTATAGTCAGATTGAATAAGATAAATAAAGATAAGTTAAATATTCATTGCATTGTCCATAGATTTTCGCGTTGAATTGTCCACGAACTATGAGCCTTGCCAATTATATAATATGAAGTTGATTAAAATCAATTTATTATGAATCGAAAATATTGCTAAATCGAGTTTTTATTTATTTTTGAAATCGTGTTTTCGAAAAAAGTGGGAGGAAATAGGAATTACGTAGATTTTAAATTCAAGTACATAGAATTTGATCACTTATACCTGACATAGATTAATTATTCGAGAAAAATTAAATGATAATAAAAAGTATGTGAAAAGGTATAAGTAGGAAAAAGATCAAGATAGAGGCTGATAGAGAAAAGAAAAGATCAAGATAGAAAAGATAAAAAAAGTCTTGAAAAGATCAAGATAGAGACTGATAGAGGGAGAAAAAACTATGTAAATTAAGTCATATTATTATATTAATGACAACTATTCTTGGCTGTCATTATCTAAACGTTGAGAAATATGTTACGTAATGTAGGAATGTAGTTTCATAAGTAATTAGAAGCTTGTGCAACATGGATTTAATACGCAAAAAATACTGTCAACAACAAAGGTTATTGTTAGGGATAATTTCACAAGCTGGTCCTTCAGGCTCAGTGTGGTCGCAGACCTCGCCGTGTGAGGAGTGATGTGCTGCCTGCTCTCCATAAATGCACTCACTAGCTGACTGTTTACATGCCGCCAGAATTTCAATTAAATTCTTGAATTTGCGAGGTTTTCTGCAATATTCTGTGCTCCCTATATTCACTGTTCTACAACTAATGAATTAATCTCTTAATTTATTAATTGAAGCATTTACCGATTAATGTAAAAGTATATTATGTTATCTAGATGAATGAATTTTGTGGCTATTTTGGTTATCTATTTTAGATATCTAGATGAAAAATATCAATAAAAAGTGTAATTTAAATTGAGTAAAACTAGATACCCCTGGGTTGTATAGAAGTCCTCATTTATATAATTACCACTGGATCGTATAGAAGTCCTCTGCAGTGATATAGTTACCCCTGGATTGCATAGAAGTCCCAAGTGATATAGTTAGCCCTGGATTGTATAGAAGTCCTCAGTGATATAGTTAGCCATGGGTTGTATAGAAGACCTCAGTGATATAGTTACCCCTGGATTGAATAGAAGTCCTCAGTGAAATAGTTACCCCTGGATTGTATAGAAGACCTCAGTGATATAGTTACCCCTGGATTGAATAGAAGTCCTCAGTGATATAGTTACCCCTGGATTGTATAGAAGTCCTCAGTGATATAGTTACCCCTGGATTGTATAGAAGTCCTCAGTGATATAGTTACCGCTCGAGTAACACGACACTATTTGCTGTATTGGAGGATAAGCCAATGTCGAGGTCAGGGATATTATTTTTGTCGGAAGCTACGAGACCTTGACACAATAATGCCGTTATACTGACGATGGTTTTATTTGTTTTATTTGTTACCTCTACAAATCACCGACTACATGAATATAGAAAATACTGATCAGAATTAATTTAGAGCAGAAAAAGCAATAAGCCTCGCAATTTCAATTGTCAAAATACTTTGAAATGTCATTGACAGGTGGATATTTATTGAGTAGATTTTCTTTATTATTTAGTTATTATTAATTATTAGTCTCTTAATTACTCTGTCGGTTAAGAGCTTATGATTACACCTCATAATTTTGTTCTATGCACAGTTTTTAGTATTGCACAGACAGAATTCGTTCATTTGAAGCCTTCAATGTCTTTTCACATTGTCAATAGATGAAACTTATTTTTAAATAAGGTTGTATGGTTGCTCATGCCATTTTTCAGACTAAATTGTTCAGTGAGTTGCAGACATTTTGTTTAAAGACAACCTGTTTTTTTTCGTTTTGAATTAAATGTAGCAAATAAGAATGTAAGAAATAAAAATGTAAGAAATAAATAAATGTAACAAAAACTCAGTAGAAGCCACGTATTGGAAGCAATCTAAAAGTTCTGGGAAATTTCACTGATATATATTACTAGTTTTGCAATGCTATATATCAAATAGGAATTATTTTGCACGCAGGGCTACCACATCTTGATCATCAGCACGCTGCACGCAACGGTTGGCACTCCTGCGAGGCCACCCAGCCGCCCCATCAGTCCAGCGTTTCGCATCCAACCTTCACATTCTGAATCACTTGCGAAGAACACAAATGTTAAACTTGATTCTAGCGTAAAACCTGAAAACAAACACGAAAAAGCAAATAATAAGGCAGTAGTTTTGCAACTTTTGAACTCTGAAAGATTAATAAAAACTTTAAATGATTCTGAAAAATTTAATACTAATTCTAAGAGATTCGAAAGAAGTGTTGAAATCAATGATAATATTAAGAAGAGATCTTCAAAATTTCACAAATACAACCAGTCCACAACTTTCAGTTCCGTAAATGCAACACAAGAAATTTTCAATGAAATACCATATCGAATTATCAAAGGAAGGAATCCACCTCATCGCACTGATATAATTTATTCCAACAAGACGCTCGTTAAAACATGGCCCAGGAAATATGCTTCAACCCACTCTGAATTTGTGACGTTTTCTTCAGCCACAGATATAGTGGTTGAATCGACATTATCTGATACGAGCTGTGGAAAAAGGAATAACTTAGCACAAAATGATAACAAAAGTCAAGAAATCGTTCACATGTTTATGGAAGAAAGTAAACATGCGGAAAAAGAATCAAAGACGGAGAATAATACAACAGGACCAGGTATTTCCAGTCTACCCAGACATCGTGAGCTGGAGAGTTTGGGTGAACGCGCGCGTTCGCATCAGCGTCGCGACGTCGGCAGCGATGAAGACATGAAGCTGCTGCTGCTTTCCTTCAACGAACATCACTTCCCAGGTAGGAACAAGTATGGCATGTAATAATTCCTTTAAAATCTTAAAAATTGATTGGTTTGATGGATGTTACACAGGCTAGATTTTTTAATTGCATGAATTAAACTCATGGGCATTAATTTGGTACTTTTTATTTTGGCTCGAATTCTGAATGGATCAACAAAACACTCTACTCAAAAATTTTTTTTGTTAGATAATTTAGATTTAATTTTCTGCTTCATTTTTCTGCATTGCAGCATTAGTTTTCTACTAAATCTGTTCTTGTGGATTTTTGTTGGAGTTCATGCTTTCTTAGTTCGACTGCATCAGAGACACAGATCAGAGACAATGACTCTGTTCGACTGCATCAGAGACACTGACTGTTCGACTGCATCAGAGACACTGACTCTGTTCGACTGCATCAGAGACAATGACTGTTCGACTGCATCAGAGACACTGACTGTTCGACTGCATCAGAGACACTGACTCTGTTCGACTGCATGTACTGGATGCCATTTTCGACAGTTGCATTCATGTCTCAAAATTCTATTGTGACCGTAGTTATTTTTTAATCCCTTTAGTGAGTCGAAAAGTTAATTTAGTATTTAATTATTAAACATCTAATTAACATAACATCTAAGGTAAGCTTCTTAAATACGTTACAGGAATGTTTTGATGCTGATCGTCGCGGCCTTTTTTTCAGTGGAGACGAATGCATCTATAATTAATGAGCGCTTATCTCAGACTGAGTCCAGCGGCTCATCATGAAGAATAACTGTTGATTAGGAAGAAGGGAGACTCTATATTGTCATCTATTTGGCAGAGGTATATAATGATGAGAAGTATTCTAATGTGATTAAAGGAAAGAAGTATTAGAAAAAGTATTAGTAGTAGTAATGAGGAAAAAAGTATTTTAATGTAATTAAAGGAAATAAGTATTAGAAGTTAGAAGTATTAGTAGTAATGAAGAAAAAATAACTATTATAATGTAATAAAGAAAAGAAGTACTAGAAATAAAAAGTATTAAAAGTAATAATGAAAAAATAAGTATTTTAATGTAATGAAGAAAATAGGTATTAGAAGTACGAAGTATTAGAAGTAATAAAGAAAATAGGTATTAGAAGTACGAAGTACTAGAAGTAATAAAGAAAAAAGATGTATTTTAATGAAGATATACGGTTAGTTTTGCTTTGCGTGAAGTTTCGTGACCACAGTAAATTCTAATTTCACCCATCACAGTTTGAAGGTTAATTGAAAATTCTTTTCTCTATCCACTATCAAAATCCATTCTTAATTAACGATTACATGATTATTTAACGCCTATCCAGGAATTTCATTTTTATAACACCTGTGCATGTGATGTGAACATGTCGCTACTTAGCTACTACTACTTAGAACTACCAGCTACACTCGCAACTGCTGTATCTGCTATACCAGCTACACGATCACCTGCTGTATCTGTTATAGCAGCTACACGTGCACCTGCTGTATCTGCTATAGCAGCTACACGTGCACCTGCTGTATCTGTTATAGCAGCTACATAAGCCACCAATTCGCGGTCGTTAAGAAGTACGCGTAATAGATCTCTTACAGGCGCAGTTCTGGGCACTCTAATTAAGAACTGAGTGCCGTATATTTCCTCTGGGAAGCTTGCTCTCCATTTACAAAGCTCGACCTCTGATTGCTGAAACAACGCAGCGCTCGTTCAAGTTACACACAAGTTGCCTGCAATTATGAGAATGATGATTATGTCTTGGGTTATTGTCCGATAAATTTTCACAACTCCCAGGTCGGAGGAAAGTTTTTCCTTGCTCGAGATGTGATGTAAATAAGATTTCACGGATTAATTGGTCGTGCTGTCACGTTTGGAAAAATGTATCGTATTAATTGTGTTTTCACGCTTCTTGCACATTTGTAGACGCGAAAAACGTTCATCGTTATCCCTAGAAGTTCGAGATGAGTTTGACTGATTCAGAGAGCTCCATTTTGAGATGGAATGCAATAGGGAAATGAATCGTATCCGTTGAAGCACTGATGTCATGATGTTTTAAAATATTTCAGTGTAATTTAAACAGTCTTGAAAGTGCAAACAATGCTATGACATTGTTACCCAAATCAAACGAGTGATTTAATTAAAATTTTAAATTAAAATAATCATAATCCTAATAATTAAATTACTTTATACATACGATAATAAACTTTAAAACACTATTTAAGAACCTTAAGTACCTTAAATTCATTCCGATGATTGCATATCATCATTTATATTTCGTATCATTTCCACTAATCATGCACGGCTTCAATTCATCAGAAGCATTAAAGTGCTGCCACTTATAATCATGATTATAAAGACATAAATTTTTCATCTGGAGAATTGTCGCTCACAAAACAGCCGATACCACTACTATAGGGAAATTTTTATGTGGTTCAAATGATTACTAGAAAATCGTTAATACAGTTGTACGTAATTTGTAATTTGTACGTTACGAAGTCAGGATTAAGTCAAGTTATGTCGTTACCTTGATACTCGCCATGGTCTTCATCTCGCTGAAGGGCTTAGCAAATGTGAACGCATCTGCTGGAATGGTGGCAGTTTCGCATCTGCCGAGATTCCCCAACCCATTATATAGAGCACTGTTTGCTAAGCCTTTAGGTCATGAATAATCTATATGAAAAGAGAACATGAAACAAAAGGCAATAGATATATCTTTTCTGGAAATTTCGTGCAGAAAAGTAAGGTTCGACCATAAATGTTGTAGAGGAGAGAAATGCAACTTTTATAGATGTCTTTTACATTGATAATTTTCTAATAAAATGGCTTTAAACTTCCGTGCAATGTTGCCGGATCCGCTCTGTATTGCGGAATAGTAGCAGCTCTATTTAGGATCACTCGATCTGCGCCACCATACGGGACAGGTGTGTACTGTGCACTGGATAATTTGATATTTTTAGAATAGGACCAATATTGTGTGCTTCATTGTGACCTGGAATAGATTAGTGTGATGCCAATCTGTATAGCTATAGCTGTGAAAATGTCTTCTTAGTTTTTATGATAAAGTTTTAGACATGACCCATTGTGTACGTGTAGAATCTGTAATAGTTTTATCTCGTATACAGAGAGACCTCAAAATCGTGGTCCGAAGTTTTGACCTCGCTTCAACTCACAAACGCTCTGTTTATCTTGTCATTGTTGAATGAGAGTTTTTGCATTTGATTGTCTTTATTCTCCTGTCGATAAATGTGCTGATGTGCAGGAAGCGTGACGAACTGTGGTTGGGTTATTGCGGATAAGATACAGTCTCACGTTGCGCCCAGTTGGTATACTGGCCCCGTAACAATGTTTATATGTAATTTGTGAATCTGGATTAGAGATTTTTTGGTTTAAACTGAAAAGCAATAGGAACGTAAACCTATCAGTTATTAATTTACTATAGGTATAAATCATCCATACATTCTATGTTAAATCTCAACTGTCTGCCAAACAACTAGATGTACATCTAACCGAAAATATGACACAAAAATCGAATTTAATTTGAACTTTTATCATTAATACCATTTACACAATATACTCTTAATTTCACTTCATGCCAGAATTTAATAATCTGATAACTAAAATTTTTGCTCAAGTTTTGACCAATATAATGGAAGTAAATCAATGTGTACTGTCACTTCTCGCTCAGCATACACTGCGATTGTGATGCGCATTTTCAACATCCTAGAATTTCTTGTGAAAAAGGCTTCATTTTCTTTTAAACTCGAAACTAAAACTTCTATTAATAAGTGCTTCAGTAGTTTTTATGATTTGTTTCAGAAATAAAATGCACCAAGAATTCGCATAAAGCGTCACGTAAATTCACTTTATCGTTAGTGAAAATATTTGGGAGACAAGTTCCATCATCAGTACAAAAGTTTATAACTTAGAAAAATTGTAATTATAGTATTTTTTGAGCAGTTTAATGATATCAATACTTGTATACAATGCAAGTACAAATGTTTTAGATGAACCGAAAATCTCGTAAAATATAGTATAAAACAAACTGTACGGATAAATGAAATGAATAGAAACAGAATCAACAGATGTGCTGCTCTATAATAAAGATGTGAATTCTGTAACGACAGCCTTGAGAATCTGCTGAAATCCTTTGACGCAGAATTCAGTATAAAGTTTCATCAACGGAAATCCCAAACTCGTAAAAAGTTTACAGCTTTTAAGACGCGCCAAATCCTTATGGAATTTATTTTTCATTCCAGTCTTTGGCATGTTAGGTCATAATTTAACTGAAATGAGAGCTACATCGTAAAACTGAAAATGAAAATTATTTATTCAACAAACAGTTATATTTTTATTAGGATCGAAATTGCCTTGCAATCAGGAAATAATTTTAAAGACTTACTAAGAAAAAAATTAATTATTTGCTTCCAATTAAGCAAAATTTGTTGATTGAAACAATCTTCGTTCCAATCTAGATTTTTTCGAACAATATTCCTGAACATTTAAAAATGAGACAATGGCAAATATTAACATATTTCTTAATTTTGTTTACTCGAAGTGCCAACTCTACACAAAAATAGAGGTAGGGAGCATTCTTAGAAATAGTACATAGTTTAATGCATGGATTATTCCGAATTTTAAATTGTATACAAAGTTGTGAACGGATACACATCGATGCACGCCAACGTTCATTTCATTAATCATTGCTGGCAACGTGTCGCTCGAACGCCTCATTTGCTGCCTGTGAGTCAGGGAACGAAAATTCCAGAAGAAAATATAAGTTTACTGAAATTTTCAGCTATTTTAAAATTTATTATTCATCTTTTAGTGAAAAATTTCATATTCTGCTCGACAGAATAAATGTTACTGAGTAAAAATATTTACATATCTATTAATTCTACCCGAAAAATTTTTCACTCATCTGCAAGATAAAATGAAATAATAACATTTAACATTCTTCTATAAGGCATGAGAGAAAACATAGTAATTGTAATCATATGCTGGTCTATTTGAGAGAGGCATTTGCCTGCAGTGTAGCACTATATAATTGTAGCACGCGAAATGAAGAAATAAAAAACTGTTTACACGGCTTGTTACCAATGCTTTCTGGGGTTATAATTGCATTTATTTGAGTAATTTCTCTTATAAGAAATACAGGAACACAGGTGGTGGTGGGATTAATAGTCTCGTAACAGTAAATGCGTTCAACATGAAGCTAATATCTAAGTCCCGCAAAAATTATGCACGTTCCTTAGTTCATACCCCTATGGTTGCAAGTTTGCTGACATCAAGTCCAAATTTCCATAGTTCTTTACTCTTTATTCTTTCACACACAGAAGCAACACAGCACGACTCAATAGAAAGAAAAAAAAACATGCTATTTGGTAATAAAAGCTTCCAGGTGAAAAGCCCATACAAGCTATAAAAAAGCTTCGCAGGCGTAATAGGTGACAATTAAGCATGAACGTAATAGTGGCAACAAGTACCACAAAAATTAATACAAATATAACATTCTAAAGTAAAAGGCAGTACATAAGTAAATTGTCACAAGAAAAAAACTATATGATAAACTAAGTTAAATTAATATTGAGCAAGAATATGATCATGATCACAATTAAATTATGATCACAATTAAAAACAGCATAATTTTTCTCTATTTCTAAACGGACCGGTGGCAGGTTGAGACGAACGCCTCTGGTATATCGTGGAAATGATGAGGAACAAGAGGAGCAAAAAAACTTTCAAAAAGACGCTGATCATGAAAAAGTGCCCTATTCATAAACTGTACAAGCTTAAATTTGTACATGTCGTCGAATTTCAGGATTTTTGACTGTCTATATAATTCATTTAACGAATCAATGGTACATATAGTTAACATATCGAACCCTAAGGATTGACCGCAGTGCCCTATTCATCAACGTGATAACCGTTTTTTTTGTACATATAGGCACTCCACCCAATATTACAGGGGTATTAGAAAATTTAGACAAAAACAACGAATAGAAGAGCGTTCTTAACGAGGAGAAAGGTAAGATACTTGATAGAGCATGTAACACTACATGGGTTTTGCTAAGTCCCTGGCAAACGGAAGTAATATGTTTTTTAAAAGACATTTTATTGTCAAGGATTAAGCCTAAATAACGAAAATCGTCAACCCATTCTAAAATTGATCCATTAAAAGTGATGTTGCGAGGGGCGACAACAGGTCTAGACGTAAAAAGTATCAGTTTAGTTTTATCGGTGTGTGCCACTTACTTATTTACTAACAGCCATCTTGACAAGTCTGCTGACAGATCCGAAATGCTATCACACGCTTCATCGTAGGTACCTTTCGAGATATAAAAAACGGCATCATCAGCAAAAAGCTTGCAGTTCGCATTAAAAGAAGAGGCGATATCATTTACGAAAATATTAAAAAGAAGAGGCCCCAGAACAGAGCCCCGGGGCCGTATTATCAAAACTTCGTAACTTTTTGTACTTCCGACAAAAAAGTTACGTGCTACGTAAGTACACCCTAATTTTGGCATTATCAAAACATTCGTACGTAGGACTTAGCTAAAAGCGTACCATCAAAACATTTGGCCAACTGACCAATCAGAGGCTTTGGATTTGTTTACATTCTGTGAACTTCGATGGCGGGAATCGATGCCTTCGATACTATCGACTACCGAATGCTGTCTGTCGGTATTGAGTCGGTATTGCTCCTTGTTGGCCCAGAAAAAGCCGTTCTAAAATAGTTGTGAATTTTTTTTTAATAAACAGCGTAAGTTGAAGAAGAAATCTGTGCACGGAGCTGAAAATTATGGTTGGCAGAGATATAAAGTACCGACTAGAAGGAATGAATGAATTAAATTTTTGAAAATGAATGAACATTTTTTTTTAATTTTTGATAAATGAATTGAATTTTTTCCAATAGCACTGTTTAGCACGATCACATATTTTCATCGTGCAAATGTTGCACGATCAAGTGCAACATGTGTATAATCCGCGCTGTCGGATTATTGACAAAATTCTATCACAAGTCAAGGTGTTGCTACTTGCTGGTAGATCAATAGTTTCCTATCGCTGGAAGATCAATGGAAGACAAGATTTTATTTGAACAGGCGAAATGTTCTGATATGGACGATCTCTCTTAAAGGGAAATAATAATTCAACAAAATACTCTCTCGAAGAGGGATGTTCTATATGAAAAGAAACAATTTGATTTCTACAGAAGTTTTTTTTCTAACTAAATTACAAACGAAGATATCTTGTAAATCGGGTGTTATTTCATAACAATATGAATATTGATTTGAAGCTGTCAAAATTGAACACGACCAAGCGTTTTATTTTCACTTGGTCATTAAAAAGTTAACGTACTGATCTTTATATTGTCTGAACTGGATATTTCCGTCATTTGCATTGGATTTTGAAAAGATGAAGTTGATTTTTTCGAACAGAAAAAGTCATATTGTTCATTTACTGCGCGGAAATGCAGAATGCACAATTAAACAAAGATTATTGATACAAAAAACTTCCCTGAAGAAAATCCCTAATTTTCTTCAGGGTCAAATTATAAAGTTAAATTTTTCAACTAAAAGGCCACACTTGTTATTATGCTGATCTTCTTCTAGCCAAGCTCGATAATAAGCCGACACAATCTTGAGCTCAAGGGTATCAAACTTTAAGATGATTTGAATAATTTTCATGGACGTGGCGAATATTCACCACGGGCGCGCCAATCTCACACCATAAGGCGATTTGTTCTTAAGGGAGGCAACGCTGCGAGCGAAGAGTCAATATTTTTGTGGAATGCTTTCAGCGGCGGAGGCTGAGATAGCCTTCAGCGACATCAATTAGCAGCCTCTGAAAGGAGGCTGCTTGGAAGGAGGCAGCCTCTGAATGGAGGCAGCCTCTGAAGGGAGGCTGCTTGGAAGGAGGCAGCCTCTGAATGGAGGCAGTCTCTGCAAGGAGGCTGCTTGGAAGGAGGCAGCCTCTGAAAGGAGGCTGAAAGGAGGACGTGTTGATCACCCACCCGATATATTCCCACAGAGAAAGCTCTCGTACACGCTTCGTTACGTAATCCTGTGAAGGATGCGTGTTCTTAAAATTGGAAGAAGAAAGGACCAATTTTCAGGAGATTTTTGTGGTGCGATGGTTTTAGTTTAGGTCGTAAATCACAGATAAAATGAAATCGCGAATAATTAAATGAGCCAAAATGATTTGATAAGAGTTTATTCATTAATGAAATATTGACTTCTACGATTTTAACTCGAATAGAAATAGCAATTTTCTAATTGAATTAGTTTTGATAGAAAAATCTATCAGATAACAGCTGCTTTCACACACACATTCAAATGTATGGATCAATGCTTTTCTAATCGAAATTGATGGGAAAATTTTAAGTTATTTTTACTAAAATGGAAGCTCTTACTCTTATTTAAACTAAACTCTGCTAATAATTAAACTGAATATTCACGTGCGCGTTTGTCGTGGTACATCAAACTCCTGTACTCCAGCGCCGACATCCAGCTCGATTTCCATGTAAATTAAATCTACGCGCATCAATCTTATCACTCAGAAATGGTTTCGTAAAAATATACTCGGTACTCATACCATCTGAGCAATGAAGTAGTGGATATGACGACTGATAATTTCAAAATATCTGCGCATTTACATAATTTTTGTTTGTTTTAGAACTATCATAGTATCAATTGGGTTCAAGAGAAATTTATTAGTTTATTCATGCGTTATTAATTACAATCATCATATGATGATTATATTATTATTATTATTATATTATTATTATATTATTATTATTATTATATTATTATTAGTATTATTATGTTTCTTTCATATATTCGGGCAGTGCAAATTAAAAAATTTCACTGAAATTTACTCACATAACTGATCTAGCTTCAGACGTATGAGCTTCACGGGCATTGAAGCAAGGACCAATACAACATTAGCAGTGCACATGAATCTGAGTAGAGTTGTACACATATTTATATCGTTGACTTGTCTTTCACAGCATTGACATTCACTAAACCTAAACGCTATGTGAGTTTTATACCACAATAGCAACAATAACTATTTACTTTCTATTGCAGTTCTACAGCGTCTAGAACAACTTATGTTGCTGATGGCGTTCCCAGGGATCGGCACGACGTTCTTGCTTCTCCTGGGATTGCTCATGGTAAGGAAGGGATGATTTTCAAGAACTAAAAGTAGCTAGCAAAAGGGGTGTATCGTCACACTTTGCATAAACAGCTCAAATCATGGGTCACCACAACCATTTACCCCGAATCTTGTCTAACAAAATTAACCAATTACCCCTGAATAAAACCTATTCATTTACTCACAATCTTATTTCGAATATTACCCATTGTAACACTTTGCATAAACAGGGTCGATACGAATTTGGGTCTGAGGCGTCAAGGTCCGGCTTTTTGAGAAGCGGCGTGATGTAAGCGGATTTGAAGTTCTCAGGGACAACGCCGTCAGCGAGGGAGCGGTTGAACAGTTCAACCATAAAAGGTGCTAGGCTGGCAACATTCTCCCTAAGTAAGTGCGACGGCAACAGGTCGCTGGCGCACTGCTTTTGTTGCCGTCGCACTGGTTTCCTAATTGGAAATCGACTACGGATTTATTGCAAATTTGTCACTTGGTAATTGACGGAAATTTGGTCCTATAGATTTTAGAACAAAATAGCTTCGCTCTTTCCATTAAAATAGCAGAGTTTCCATACATTAAAACTGTGCATTGTGCATCCTTCGTATCGTATACGCTGAAAACTTCATATCTTATAAAACATAAGTAGGGAAAATTGGGTACAATTAGACAAAAAAGATGAAATCAAAACTGACATAATTATTTCTCATCTTAGAATACAAAATGCTAAATAAAACTAAGCATCAAGTCCATAGTTATGTTGCCACATACCTTATCAAGGATCAGAACTGTTCCTTAGACTAGGAATAATAAAAATATGAAATAAATTGAAATGTCCCACATTACCCCGAAATAATCGATGGGTATACTGAAGTACAGTCGAGTGAGTAAATTGAAACACTTTACCTCATTATGATAAAAATTATAGTCGTAATTCAGGTTACAATTTCATCTTTTTTGTTGTTTTACGATCACTTGACCATCTACCATCAGACTGTCAACATTGCTTTATTGCCGGTATATCGTGCACCACTAACCTTTTGTCTACGTTGAACGATTGGACTCGCCCGCTGGGCGAAAAAGAGCCACTGGATGCATTGTACCTCGATTTTGCCAAAACATGTGACAGTGTTCCGCATGAGCGGCTGTCGCGTAAAGTGAAGTCTTTGGGAATAAAGGTAAATGTACTCCAATGAATCAGAGATTTTCTAGTAGGTAGACGACAATGTGGCAGTATTAACAGAATTATATCAGTTAATCATCATCAGAGGCATCAGTGCGCTGTATCGTGCCACCAGAAAGCGTTCTTGGGCCTATTTTGTTTGTTGCATTTATAAACGATCTGCCAGAAGTTATGTCAAGCGTGTGCTCCATGTATGCCGGTGACACAAAGTTTATGGTACAGTTAAGGATGAGTCAAATAAAGTACAATTACAAGATGATCTTGATAGTTTAGTAAGAGACTATAAAAACTATAAAGAAATATATGGTCAGACTTATAATGCCTAGCACCATACGAACCTGGTGTAAGTCTAGTAGCTATTTCAAACTATCGTCAATATTGAAAAGATCTGGTCAAAGGACCTGTTTTTAGATCTCCTGTTGACAAATCACGAAAAGTTCAAGAATAGGCGTCAGGCCACATCAGGCCTATTTTTCAGTGCCGACAATTCTGTGATATGATATGATATGATATGATATGATATGATATGATATGATATGATATGATATGATATGATATGATATGATATGATATGATATGATATGATATGAAATGATATGATATGATATGATATTACTTATGCTATTACTTCTTTATTCATTCAATATATTTTAGAAATTGTTTTTTTATTATGAAAGTCCTAATGTTGACATCGGACTACGGCAAAAGTTGGAAAACCCTGTGAACTTTACAAGCCATCTGGCCACAATGCGAGTAGTCGGGTAACAAAGAAAATTAGTCTGTCTCCTATTATTTAAAGGGAACCTATTTCGAAGTAGTTTCGGTTAGCCTAAGCAGCAGTTTCTCATTTCACGCTCACACGCACACAACTTTAGATAATATATAGAGATAACGCCGAATGTTATTTAGGTGACATAGATAGAAATAACACCGAATGTTATTTAGGTGACATAGATAGAAATAACGCCGAATGTTATTTAGGTGACATAGATAGAAATAACGCCGAATGTTATTTAGGTGACATGAAAATTTACAGACGCGGCAGCTTCTGATTTGGATTACCAGAAGCTGGAGCGACTCTAAATTTTGTTAGGGAAAGTGAGCTGATGGCCGATTCAAGTTCAGATCTGTGCCACCCCTGGAACTCATCGAAAGAAAAGGAGTGCGAGCTGAATGAAAAAGCGAATGAAGAAGCTACATTGTTTGGCTCTATTCAAAAGTTCCGTGGGTTCGAATTTACGATCGCCACCAATTTTCCAAACTATCAACGCTTTGTAAAATTCGGTACTTTATATCCTGTATGTGGCTAACATTAAACCCGGCTCTTAAACCCGAAGTCAAAACCTAGGAAACAAACGTTGTCCTACTTTTTAATATTCAGTGAAAAGAACTTCAGTTAAAAAAACTCGATCTCTTTGGCAAACTCTTAAGATAAAATATGAATTGCCAATTTTTGAACAAAGGAAATGAGAATGTGGGTTAATAGTCGATTACTTGATATTTCATGCGTTAAAATAAAAGATCGTTACGTAACAGCTCAAAGAAGTCGAATTAAAGTAAATGCGTATGACAATAATTACATAACTGTAATCATCAATTACACTTTAAATTGCATCATTGAAAGCAAAATTAAGCGATGCGTTCAGCAACAAGTGATGAAAGAGACAAATGATAATCAACTGATAATTGTTCAACATTTCTGGATATATTCTTCAATTTGAAAATAAGGATTGATACATATTTTTACACGGCTCTACACTATACTGATTTCCTACATTGAAAAATGATTAAAGCTAATTGAATTCATCTTGCGTATTGAGAGTGAATAATTAGTTATGTAGACTAAGCTTATTTTTGTATTTTTGTCCTTAGAAAATACACATTGTGCAACCTGCTCATCGTATGCATCGAAAAAATAGTGATCAATACGCACCATTGTTATCTGATGCATGAGAACTGAGCAGTGCGCATTGAATTGATAATTTACATGAGAGATGAGCGTTGCAGTTATCCTTGATGTTTACTAGTGAACAATATCCGCTGAACTAATCCAGTGCACGCATAAACGAGCGGAGTGCATCTAACTGATCCATTGCTTCAGAAAATAAACTGCATTCATCATATTCTGCCGATGTATCACAAAAAATGTAGAGCGCAATAAGGCATAAAATAGATGCTTTCTGAACAGCTCAATTGCTCCCAGCGCATGAGTAAGCCTGGCTTACCGAAGAGAACCTAGGAAAGACGGCACTTTGTTAGAATGCTCTTGTACTTGATGGTTTACTTATTTCTGGTGTCGCATTGATGGCCGGCGCTAGGCTTTGCAAATATTTCTCTCTCTATGCTCTATTTCTGTAAAGTGATTGAAAAAAGTAGAAATGAATCGTATCCGTTGAAGCACTGATGTCATGATGTTTTAAATTAACAGCAATGGAGGTCAACGGCAGTGAGCCGTTGACCTCCAAAAATTCTGTGCTATCCTGGAATTTTTTCCTGTTAATAAATGAGTCCAAAAAATAAAAAAAATTCCATTGCTGTAAAGATGAAACTGCAATTTTCTATCAAAATTATTTTATCGCGGATATATATACCAATCTTTTTCAACCTGGCCTGTAGAAGTTTCTCTTTTTATGAAGAAAATAAAAAGAATTCAGGGAAATTTTAAACGTCTATTGAGTAGAATTAACTTACTTGTTTAGTTTTCATTCAAGCATTACATTTCATCACAATAATCTGATCACTGTGATAAAAAGTGTAATATCTTGTAGGCGTTTTAATTCGAATTATCTATTTCATTTCATATGATACTTTTTTTCCAATACTGCGACATCACTTTTATAATTCGCTTATTCTGACTGAGGCGCTCAGTTCTTTTAAATTGAAAAAACAAACGATTTATGCCTGAAAATAAAAATCTTCGTTGATGTAGTTCGCATTACTCTCTCGCTTCGAGTATTTTTCACTTATTACGCGTACTAAACCAAACGAATTTATTGGATTTAAAATTGCTGCATTGTTAGTCATAATCGATTTATTGCAGACATCAACGGTAAATTTTTCGGCCCTCCCACCAGTTCCAAAATCTATTGGACTAGAACAGCTGAGAATAATTCTGTGCAGCTGCCTCGTAAATTTAGTGTTTGCTCTAGAAAAGTGATGAAATTCTCGAGGTTTCGGTCTCTTGAGCTTCAAGATTTTTTGGCCTTTGCTCGGGATTACGAGGCTCAGTCAGATTACCAGTAACCGCAAGGGAGGCGTTCTCCGTTATAGAAGCAATCAAAATATTCATGTCTTGAAAAAACGCGACCTGTTCTGAATACATTTTTATTTTTTTAAAAAGAAAGCTTTGTTAACATGAATGTCAGGACCGTGGAATTTCATATGTCTAAATCATGTAAACCCTTCATAGGAACTTTTGCTTTCTAACCAAATTTTGTGCAACGTTTGCGTGGTAAACCAACATTGCATCTTAGAAGAAAATTTTACAGTGACCAATAAATTCTGAAGCAGCTACAAGCCGCGACTGTTCTGTTTGCGAAAATGTATGCAAATGATATTAGCATAGTCACAAATTCGGCCCAAATTGCACCATACAATGCGACGCCATGAATATACAAACAAATTTAATGAGATGAAGTAGCGGTTTCAACGAAATTAATTGTGGAGACATTTCGCTTAACAATATTCCAAGATTATTTATTTGTTCAACACAGAATCGTTCTTTGCTTCTCTTGCCGTGGCTGACATCATTCGGCATGATCGTGGTCCTGGATGTGGTCTACATCCCTTACTCCTTCTACTTCATTCTCGTGAGTATTTTAATATTCACTATATATACTCTTGTGAGTAAACTGCTTATTCTAATTATTTGGAATACATATTATACTCACATTTGCATTCTAATTATTTGGAATAGACTTTATGACATAAACTGTTATAATTACACAATAAAATATATTGTAATTTTGTGCCTTTCTAATTGGAAGGAAAAAAATGAGCACATCTGAAATATAAAATAACATACAAAAGTAGTCTAAGACCATTTCAATTTTTAGTTTTTCACGGACACAAAATAAATTCCACCTGAAAGTTTTCATGTCATCATGCGTGATAAGCTCAGCGAAATATTAGTTTATTAGTCAGCGAACAGTTTACTAGTAATTGAGGATAGCGCTGTTCGACTTCGTGTTTATATTAACCTTTCCTATCATTTATAATAGTACAGGTTTAGTACTGTAGGATATCTACTGCTAAAAATCAGAAACGCAACTTGATCGAAAAAACTTTTGAAACTTTCCATATCGATGCAAAACAAGCAATCGAAATACGAAATGGAAAGTGAAAACTCAGAACAGATAAAGTGCGGTGCTAAAACATCCTTGCAAACACGTCCCCACGGACGAGTTTGCTGCACAAATTCCAGAGTTTGGAGCGCCCACTCGATTGAATGCAAAACTTGCGTCCTTTAAAGCAGAGCTAAAATTCTCTGGAGAAAAACTCGAGTCAACAGATCGTTCCGCTCGCAAAAGAACAGAAGACTGTAAATTTGTATTACTTTATTTATTATAAATTATATATATTATACATTTTATATATTTATTATATTATTATAAATTATTTATTATAATTTATTTTTATATAAATGCTAAATTAATTTTCTATTATGATTTTAAATAATATAAACTGCGTCAGGAATACCTGAGTTCTATTAATCGTATACGCTGGATTTATCTGCACTAGATTACCACAATAGCTACTAATTGTTCCCTTAGAAACGACGAGAAGAACTACTATTACTATACGAGATTTGTTAATAAATATAGCCATATTTATATCGAATAGGTAAAAACACATGCCATTTATCCTTTGGCTGGCAAGTAAATATTCACTTTCCTTAAATTTTTTTACCAATAAAAACCACGCGGTGTCTGATTACGGTTACGTTATTATTACGCTGTCATTCTCCAGTCATCGAGTCATCGTTCTACACATTGCAGCAATAGGTCTACAAAGAACATTTAATAAAATAAGAATAGACTAAGAGCATTTAAAAAAAATTGCCTCTCAGACGCCAAAAATTTACGATGATTTGAATCACAGAAATAACAATATCTCATCAGTTAATTTCAATAACATGAGATATTGATAATAGACAATTTCTAGTCATATTTGCAAGTTTTTCTTTAAATAATAGGAAATTTTTTAAGTTTAGTAACTGTATTTGACAAATTATTCAATAACAATCGGCTCATTCAATGCTGAAATTTTGAATAACTCTCGTGAGTATGCATATTATATCTTTAGTCTTACTTATTGTATTTTTTTCCGAAATTTGTTTTTTCAGTCCGCTGGCCAAAATGTTAATGCCTATGGTCAAAGATATGGACTTCTAGTACAAATATACCTTTAACGTCTGTTTTCTCTGAATTATCTATTCATTTGTCTAGTTCAGGTCAACTAAAGAAGCAAATTTCATCAATAAGATATATGCATTGCGGTTATCTTCATAGATACAGCTTACTAGTGTGGGTTAAGCGTATACGATGTGAAACACTACGTTATTTGGCATCGTTAACTCACTATCCCCTCTTATATGTAGCATCGAAAATCCATACGACACGTTTTTCTGTATCACACAGATTTTTCAACTTCTGCCAAAGAAAAAATTTTTCTTGTTAATGGTAAGAAATTAAACCCAATTTTGTTACAAAAATTTATTGTTTTATAAACTATTGATTTATGTTTCCATTTAATGTTTTCCTTTCAAGTGCGTGTTTGGTTACCTGCAAAATAAATTTATTGACTTTTATATTATAAACGGTTTTATTACTGCATAAAATGTTCTCAGATACTAACGGGATACAAGGTACAGAATGCATAGAAATAATCGTCAATATGATCAATACATTTTAAATTATGAATTCTTTCAATAATAATTATAAATTAATTCTCATACATCAGTCAAGCCAAGAACCATAAAATGCGTGTGAGCAGGACTGCCCTCGGACAGAGGGTCTAGCCGCGGTAAATCTGATAGTTGCTTCAACATTTATCTTCATTACCCTCAGTATGATATATTAAACTCATTTATCATGAGCTTCCTCTCATGTTGAGTGACATTTAAAGTTAAAAACAACAATTGTTTTGTCATTGCAATGAGACAGAGATGAAAGCAGCCTCTGAAAGGAGGTTGAAAGCAGCCTCTGAAAGAAGGCTGAAAGCAGCCTCTGAAAGGAGGCTGCTTGGAAGGAGGCAGCCTCTGAAAGGAGGCTGAAAGCAGCTTCTGAAAGAAGGCTGAAAGGAGGACGTGTGGTCCCACGCGATTTGTCAGATGGGAATGTTTACAGAGAATTCTCTCGTACACGTTTCGTTACGTAATCCTGTGAAGGAAACGTGTTCTTAAAATTGGAAGAAGAAAATAACAATTTTCAGAAGATTTTTGTGGTACGATGATTTTAGTTTAGGTCGTAAATCACAGATAAAATGAAATCGCGAGTAATTAAATGAGCCAAAATGATTTGATCAGAGTTTGTTCAATAATAATATATTGACTTGTACGATTTTAACTCGAATAGAAATAGCAATTTTCTAATTGAATTAGTTTAGGTAGAAAAATATATCAGATAACACTCATAACAGTTGCTTTCACACACACACACATTCAAATGTATGGATCAATGCTTTTCTAATCGAAATTGATGGGAAAATTTTAAGTTATTTTTACTAAAATGGAAGCTCGAACTCTTATTTAAACTAAACTCTGCTAATAATCAAAACTGAATATTCACCTGCGCGTTTGTCGTGGTACATCAAACGCCTGTACTCTAGCGCCGACGTCCAGCTCGATTTCCATGTAAATTAAATCTACGCGCATCAATCTTATCACTCAGAAATGGTTTCGTAAAAATATACTCGGTACTCATACCGTCTGTGCAATGAAGTAGTTTCTTTTCAAAATATCTGCGCAGTTACATAATTTTTGTTTGTTTTAGAACTATCATAGTATCAATTGGATTCAAGAGAAATTTATTAGTTTATTCATGTGTAATTAATTACAATCATCAGATTAGAAGTATTATTATGTTTCTTCCATATATTCGGGCAGTGCAAATTAAAAAATTTTACCGAAATTTAATCACATAACTGATCTAGCTTCAAACGTATGAGTTTCACGGGCATTAAAGTAAGGACCAATAAAACATTAGCAGTCGAACAGCACCAATACAACATTAACAGTACAACATTCCATGAATCTGAGTAGAGTTGAACACACATATTTATATCGTTGACTTGTCTTTTACAGCATTGAAATTCACGAAGCATAAACACTATGTGAGTTTTATACCACAATAACAACAATAACTATTTACTTTCTATTACAGTTCTACAGCGTCTAGAACAACTCATGTTGCTGATGGCGTTCCCAGGGATCGGCACGACGTTCTTGCTTCTCCTGGGCTTGCTTATGGTAAGGAAGGAATGATTTTCAAGAACTAAATTAAATCAAATTAACATTAACCCAGATTTAAAATTTTCAATTTATTGTGAGCATTGAAGTTAAATTTCTCTAAAGTTAAAGTATCTCTTTCAATGAGGGAAAAGCGAATTTGTGTTACTAAGAGATTATTTTAGATCGTATTTTTTACACGAGAAAAACATTCACCCACGAGTAGCAGATAGGAAAGTCGGCCGGAATGCAGAATGCTCTTTCCATGAATAAGTGGATGATGGATAGGAAGCTATCATCCACTTGAATAGCTTATATGTTAGCCATGAAGTTTAAACTGCTGAAAAATATTCAAGATCTTTAAATTTCTAAAGATTTTTTTCATTAAGATTCATTGGGTGCAATAAAATGCTTCTCATGCAAGTAAATCTACAGCGTGCTATGCCAATTTTCATCAAAATTACGATGTTTTATTAACAAAACGAGTAAAGTATTAATTATACTCGTAAGTATTAATTATACATCCAATTATTCAAAATCTTTAAATTTCTAAAGATTTTTTCATTAAGATTCATTGGGTGCAATAAAATGCTTCTCATGCAAGTAAATTTGCAGCGTGCTATGCCAATTTTCATCAAAATTACGAATTATACATCCAATTATTTAAAGATGATTAGAATACACGAATTTGGATTTTGAGGCAAAACATTGAAATTCCCAGAGTCTTCCATTAAAATATTAGCAGTAAATTTACCGTACAAATTTCGCTTCTTCAGCTCAGTGAAGGAATTTTGGTCATAACTAAAAGTACGAACGCAAGTGCCTGAGGTTGGTCCATAAAATGTTCACAGACAACTTCCTCTGCGGATATTAAAAGCTCGCCTTGAAAGTTTTATTACATTCTCAAGCAGGGTTCCATATATTATTGTAGTTATATATTATTGTAAAAATTAATTTTACCGTAATCTAATTTTTTTAATTCAATGAGTAAATGATGTTGGCAATTATAAATTGTATGCGTAGTGGAACAACGGAAGTCGATCATATCTGAACTCGATTAATTGGAAACCGACTACGAATTTATTGCAAATTTGTCACTTGGTAATTGACGGAAATTTGGTCCTATAGATCTTAGAACAAAATAGCTTCGTTCTTCCATTAAAATAGCAGAGTTTCCATACATTAAACTGTACATTGTGCATCCTTCGTATCGTATAAGTTGAAAACTTCATATCTTATAAAACAAAAGTAGGGAAAGTTGGGTACAATTGGATAAAAAAGATTAAATCAAAACGGACATAATTATTTCTCATCTTAAAATACAAAATGCTATATAAAACTAAGCATCAAGTCCTCGGTTAT